GTCTACATGTGTTTTATGGACTTGGAGAAAGCATTCAACCGTGTCCCTCGGGTTGTCCTGTGGGGGGTGCTCTGGGAGTATGGGGTGTCTGGCCCATTTTATGGGCCATTCAATCCTTATACAACCGTTAGAAGAGCTTGGTCCACATACCCAGCAATAAGTCGGACTCGTTCCTGGTGGGTGATGGGCTCCGCCAGGGCTGCCCTTTGTCACCAATTCTGTTAATAATTTCTATGGACAGAATTTCTAGGCGTAGTAAAGTGGTGGAAGGATTTGGGTGGTCTCAGAATCTCATCGCTGCGCAGAGTAGAGCCACTGCTCCTTCACATTGAAAGTAGCCAGTTTAGGTGGTTCGGGCATCTGACAAGGATGCCTGGGCGCCTCCTGGGTGAGGCGTTCCGGGCATGTCCCATTAGAAGAAGGCCCCATGGCAGACCCAGGACTCGCTGGAGAGATTATATCTCTCAGCTGGCCTGGGAACACCTTGATGTTCCCCCGAACAAGCCGGAGGAGGTGGCTGGGAAGAGGGAGGTCTGCTTGGACTTGACTCTGCTTGGGCTGCTGCCCCCATGACCCGGCCCTGGATAAGTGAAAGAAGATGATGGCTGGAAAGACCCTACAGAACAATACCACTGTAAGCAATCACTTGGCTACAGTTGGAAGGGAAAAAAGCCCTTTAAGTGGGAAGAAACCTCCCAAGGAACCAGGCTCTGGGAGGGGAAGCCACAACTGGCTGGGGATGATAATAAACTTTGTGCACCTCACCTATCTGTGTTCTGTTCTGCGATGATTCTGTGAATCATATTGTCTTTAGCTGTGTTAATAAAGATTTTTTTTGTTTGTTTTCTAATTTAAACTTTGTGAGAAGTAATCCTCTAATATCTGACGTCCTCCTCCATTTTCTTTCTGGCTTCTTCATGGTTGCAAACCTGAGCGTGCCCAGAGCCAGAGGAGAGGAGGAGATGCTGTGCTATTGCTGAAGAGAAAAGACCCGGCGCTGTTGGAGGGGTTATTGTGAGGAATTTGTCTCATGTGTCCCCCCTGAGATCTACACATAAAGCTTCACTGAAAAGCCTGGCTTTCTTCCACCTACAAAAAGTACATCATGTCCACATTCCTGCAGCGATCCCCTTCTGGGAGACCGCTGAGGCCAGAGTGACATTCCACAGCTGCACACAGATGTTATTTTGCGTCTGTAATGTCTTGAAGTAATGTGTAGAGCAGCAGTGCAACAGGAAGAACATAAAACTCCCTCTAGAGTTCATCTGCAGCCTCAAAACCATGAACTGTAGGAAACAATAGAAAGTTGTGCAATACCAAATAAAATTCTCTTGTTGCTGTGAGGAGACATTCAGACTGAAACTACCAGGTTTCTCCAACAGAATGGAGTAACTGAAGTGCTCAAATTTAAACTTTCTGCTCGACGGAGCTTGTTGTGACGCATACCTTCATGACTTTTGTCTCTAAGACGGCGTCCAAGAAGAGATCCATCTCTGTGAGCTCCTCTGTGGTGACTTGTTCCGTCACGCCAGTAGACCGCTCATAGTTGTCCAGGAGTGTCATAAAACCTGCGAGCCCAGAAATCCCATTTATTACAGTGATGACTGCAAACATGATCTGAATGTTTAAGCTCAGAGTGCTCACAACTACACACTTACGAGAGAAAGTGGTTATATTTCTCAGTTTGCTCTCATTAACGTTGGAGAAGAGCGGCTGCGAGGCGTGATCCTGCACCGTGTGGCTGCCTTGACTTACAAAGCTTGCTCTACCCTAGGCAGTTCAAACACAGAACACGTCTTTGTACAAACACAAGACATAGCAGGCGCTAAATAAACTAGAAAAGATTTCTCACCTGAACAGAGATTGTGTAGTCTATCCCAGGTGTCATGCGATTCACATCCAAACTCCACAGCTCATTGAAAATAGTGGAGAGCTCCTGGTTTACAGCTGGTCTGTTATAGAAAGTGTTAGACAGAGGCTATGCAAACATCTGACACATGCAAACACAAATAGAGGAAACATCAGCAGAGTTTGGTTTATACCACTGTACCTTGATCCATTCAGTCCACTGAGGAACACTGCAAGGAGCAGAAATCCACAGAACAACCTGCATATAACAGATGTGAAAACATTTTTTTACACATGGGAAAAGCAGCAATGTTCTGACCTGTACTCAGCTGCCCGTGCAACAACGTAAACAAACGAATCTTTAGTCAGTAAATAAAAATACAAACCTCGCAGACATGACGCCAAAGTGTCCACTGTTTCAGCCTGGACTGCAGCAGAGTACTCACACACAGCCTGTCTGTCTAAAGGTCCCGCCTCCACCCAGAATCTTGCAGGGGCCTTTCTGAGCCTGAGACCCACTTTTAACCACCAGATGGCGCCTCGTTTCAGGGCACAGCCTCTTTCTATGGTTTTGCATGAACTTTTACTAAAGTGATACAGCGATGCAGCTTCAGGTGGTTTTAATTTTTTTTTTTTCATGCAACTTAGCTTATAAACCATCACATACTTGATACAATTTAATATCAGGTCCCATCCAGAGTCTCAGTGAAATGTTTCTCATGTATTGTTTCAGTGTAAAGGGGGATAAGAGAAGAGTAGATTCATTATTCAATGAGTAGGTAAAGTAGGCTGTGCAAATGTAAGGTGAAATGTAAATCTGGGGAAAGGCAGTGGTCTGTGACTTGAACACAAGGGAGCGTACTGAGCTTTCAAACAGCAGAAAATGTTTTCTCAGAAATGAAAGCCTCTGTGCTTTAAAATTCACCAACATGCTAAAATTAAAAGTTAACGGCCTAGATTAAATTTAGCTCTTTGGAAAAAGGTTAATGGTCTCTGCCCAGGAATGTAGCTGCCCTGGTTTACCTCTGAGCACGAGCATGCATATTTGTTGACTATGTGAGCATGTCCTGTAGAGTGACCACATGTCAACAGCATTATTATAGTAGGTTACACTGTAGTGGTGTGATGTATATCACCAGTACAGAGGTGTCAGCAGGGGCCAATGGGTGCATCTCACCACTAAACACAGACTTTTGTGCAGAACTGTAGAAAGGCTTTACTGTGCATGTATGAACATGTGGAGACATGATAAGAAGAAATGAGAGGAGAGCCAGACAGACTAGATAAAATAAATAAATCTGAGAAAGACTGAAAAAAAGAAGCAGAAATAAAAGAGAGTTCGAGACTTCGAGCTCTTGATTACACACAGAAGACGCATCTCATAAGTTTACTGAGTGTTCTGTCATTTAGAACCACAGCAGTTCACACATCTAAACTTAGCAGCATTCAGATTTTGTGCCACTTCACAGTGGTAAACAATGTCAGGCCTGGATGCTGTAAAGGGTAAACTCCAGAACCGAGTGCTAAAGACGAACAACCATTCTCCGTCTCTTTGTGACAATAAAATTGAGGCTCTATAAATAAAAGTCTTTGTGGAGGATTTAATCGTTGAACAAAACACAGAAATCCTGATTACAGAGCAGTTGTGTAGAGCAGATTTTTTATCTCCAATTATCTGTCAACATTAGAGAGTTCTTGAGTCCCAGACTCTTGAAAAAAATCTGACATTGTGACAGGTGTAGATTTAATTTCTTCAAAGAAAACAAACGTATTTAAATTACTTTATTGATTTATTAATTGCATAAGTGTACAAAAAAGACATCCTTTCAGGGAAGGTGGAGAGCTGCAGAGGGCATTATCACTTTGAGAAAACCAGACGTTTCCTTGCAGCACAACATTTCCCCAGAATTAACTGCAGGTTTCCATTAAAAATCATTTTTTGGTAAAAACAATGATGAGTTCTTATATGACTGTGTTGAAGTTTCAAAACATGCAGCGAGATTCTTGCTTTATACTGTATATGCACATTTGTAAATGTATAAGTGACAGAATAATATTTAAAGACTGTTCTCATTTCTTTAGCAGGGTTCAGTTGTGTAGAAAACATAGCAGCTGTTTGAGGGTTTTTTTCTTTATAACTTCAAAATGGAAACAGTCTCAACACATCACTTCTAGTCCAACTCTTTCTTATAGCATTGCCACAGTCAAAAGGCAATTTAAAAGTCATATATTAAATCTATATAGGCATTTTCTAGATGTTTTTTTTTTAAATTTATTTTTGGTGGTTTTCACTTCAGTTAAAACAGGAAAGTACCCGAATAGAACACAGTAATAATATCTCCAGAAACCAGCTGGCAGGCAAACAGTGGTGTTATCCTACATGTTCCCTCTGACATCAGTCGGGAGTAATGAAGACTAAGTTCAGGAGTGAAAGTGGCCTCTGGACCGAAGGCTTCAACATTTAAAAATCAACTAGAAAGACACGACGCTAATACTTTTGGCTCTTCTTTGAATGTAACACTAAAAATGAGGAAAATGTGGGAGCATTCTTGTTTTTTTGTTGAGACGTGTGTGTGCAAGTGGAGAGGGTTGGCACAGAGTTTCATTCACAGCAGGATCAGGTCTGATGCTGACAGCCTCATGCGTTGGAGTCGTC